CACACACACACACACACACACACACACACACACACACACACACACACACACACACACACACACAACGCACTTTTCCTTTGTTCCAGTTCGCGCCACCTTCCACAGCTCGAACAGGAACGAATGGTGCCACAAGACTCTACTTCCGACTTTGGAGTGAAACTTTGGGAGTGCACCGACACTGACACACAAGGTAGCGAGCCGTCAACAATCCTCGAGCTGTGAGCCATCGAAAACCACCTGCCAGGCCGCACCGCATTGTATTCTCTGGCCTTTACACAGTAAGGCCACACAGTCCTATCGGACCATCATACGCTTTGTTCTCACAATTTCTTACACACCTTCCCGTTCTGTGACACAGATGCTTGCATAACCTCATGCATTCGCACTGCCTGTTGCCGTCATCTCCACTGCCATACCACACCACACTGTGCAATGAGTGCTGGCATAACCTGCTCTGAAAGTCGACACTTGTTGCATTGCGAATACCCGCATCTGTGCATGCTGTGGGTCATCAGGATTTCCGCTGTCGTTGAGTCGAATCCTCCAGCAAGCTGTGGCATCACATGCCAAGCCAATTTGGATGAGACAAACAAAAAGTCACAGGCACCGGATGTATTTACCCTTGGACTTTAACCCATCAGTAGAACCTGTTTTCAACCTGTCCTAAAATGCAGGAGGCCGAGCGCCGTAGATAAAATGAATCCGCGGCGGGCGGCTTCCGAAAGCGGCCAGCGGCCGATAGCTGGCATGTACTGGTGCTTTAAGGGCAGGCATGGCTACTGCTATATTTGGGCATGGCTAGCACAAGCATAGTTCACGGCTCCTTCGCACAAACATAGCGTCAGACGCAACTAGCCCTCAGCACAAGGCCACACTGGTGCTATATTCGTGCTAAGAAAGCACGAACCTAGCCATGATCGGGACCAGTATCATGCTTTCCAAGCATGACTATAGCACCAGTCGCAACTAGCCTTTAGTACAATGTTGAATAAGCTGAAGAAAAAAGACAGTCGTTTACGGCTGAAAGACCTCAACAGTACTTCTAACAACAACCATTAGACGATGCCGCTCAATCTCCCGACGGTTATGGGTGAGAGCTCTTCTTTTACCTCCATCCCCTGCATGGCATCCATCTCACACAACTTTCACAAATACCGCTTCACTGTCGACATTCAATTCAAACCGTCGCTGCCTCCCGCTTCGCTTCCGCGGACATCTGTATAGCCCGAATTCTTCACATAAACATGTGCGCACTTCCGTCCACATGCCAGCGAGCGCATTCGTACACGTGGGAGTTGATGTTGCCAAAAAATGAGAGGCTGACAAGCATTTCGAGGGTTGTTTACCTCATTGACCGCTCCCCCCAATCATTCGACTCAACCGGGCCGGACGGTCATTATCACTAGAAATCTAGACTGAGAGTTGCACCAAATGCAGTTCGTATGACCGAATGACCGTACATTCTATTTGGGGGAAGACAGTACGTCAGCAACATCCACCTCTCCTCTCCTCCAATGATGGAAAAATCCATGGAATGCTTCTCGATCATTCAATCGTCAGGTTGTCGTGTTCCTTAATTCGCCTCCCAAGCCAGTCACCGCTCTCCCCACTCTCACAATGCTTGCATGCTTATGGCAAGCACACACGGTACCATGGCTCGTACACAAGAGCGTTGATCTTAGCAATCTTCCGGATACCAGCCGCCAACTCCTCGACCTTGTCCATGAGCAGGGTGGCCCCGGCTCGCTGGAGCGCAGTGGCTGCTGGAAGATGACCTGGCCCTCGCTTACCTCCATCAAGGAGTACCAGCCACCTCACCGCTGTGGAGATCGATGCAACCATGCACTTGAATACCAAATCCTCTGGCTGCAAAGCGCGTGCCAGCATCCTGGTCATCATCTCTGCCTCGGCCATAACGCCTCCCATGATGTGACTTGTAGTCCGGCCAGAGCTTCGTGCTCCCGTGGACGAGGCTTCCATCATTTCGCTAGCCGCGACAACCAAGTCACCCAGGAGCCCGCCAATCTTGTCCACAGAAGCCGTCCGGTCATCCAGCATCCGCAACATTTCAGCTTTGCCCCTTGACATAATGGCACTCATGTTGGAACCAGCGCTGTACCCTCGACTCACAAGTACCTGCTGGACCATAAGCAACCTGTCACGCACAGCCCATACATACAGAGGGAAAGAGCAGACAGACCCCAGCGGCCCAGCCACATGTGGTGAGTTTGCTGCACCTGCCTGGCCCCAGCAAAACAATGAGAATCACTTGGATTGCATGATGAACAAGCTCTCAACAGGAGCACCACCAATGCATAACACACACACACACACACACACACACACACACACACACACACACACACACACACAGATGTTTGCAAGTCCTCTCTATGAGTGTGTGTGTGTGTGTGTGTGTGTGTGAGAGAGAGAGAGAGCTGTCTCTTATACACATCTGATGTGTATAAGAGACAGACTTTATAGTATGTAGCATCAGCATCCCTATGAT